TTACAAAATGTTGAAGTTTAAAATTAAATAACAAATTATTTTGAAGCATTGATGGCCAAGACTATGGAACATTTTGGTCTAAGACAAATAAAAACCCAACCAAACACACACAATAATTCTTTTTCTTTCCTCTATAGTACAACGAAACATGTATTTTTTATCAAACTTGAGAATTTGGAGGGCTTGGGAAAAGAATTTTTAGATAAATAGCCTGAGGTTTTAGCCTTTCTAAAGCAAGTCTTCTCAAAAACTGAAGCCAGGGAATGGGAAAAGATTATACTAGAAATAACTCTAGGCTCATACTAATAAAACAAAGCTCATAGAAGACACGTATGACTGTAGTAAATGTGGTAACAAATTTCTAGTGGTTTTTTTGGTGAAATTTGCACCTGAGAAGGTGAGAAATTTTTTACTTTTATCCAAAGGAATAATGGACTAGGCATTTTTGCAGAATCCCAAGGAGAACATTTAGAACTCCAAGCAGAAGAAATCAACTAAGACACTCTGAAGCCCCACTGATGGGAAGATTATCTATTACAAACTTTTCAGGTAACTAAAGGTGTATTTGTGATTCTGGATTTAATAATCTTAATTTCGGTCCTAAATTAATACATGTCCTGTGATGAATCTATATTGTAATATTGAGAAACTAATATAAGAATGTTGGGTGGCTGACATGCTGAATAGAAAACTGCAGAGAAAAGAGGAATTATGCCCATACTAAAATGGAAAAAATGAGAGTGTGGTAGGAGAAATGTACTACCACAAGAGAGCAATATCATGTAGTTATCATCCAGTCACATAGGAAGCATGTGCTGAAGAAGGAAATTTAATGTCTTCTGAGTTCAAGTCCAACATTACAAACACAATTACAAGGCAGAGAACTCCATTCCTGCATAAATAATAGAAGGTAATGGATGTATTTTCTTTTTATCCCCTTTGGCATGTGCAATACATCATTTTCTGTTTGAGGAATTCACTTATCTAGAAACATGGCACACTGAAAATAAAACCAGAATTCAGTTACTTTTTTACTGAATCTGTAATGTTACAGTAGGAAGGTTTCCTTTCCAGCTACCAAATATAATTATTTATGAAGTCTCACGCTTCAGCTTACTCATGTGCTCAACTTTACTCCCAAATGTACAGTGACTTAGTGGTTCCTGTGTTTACAGGCTCAGATTTAAAGGAATAATAAAGGCATTTGTGTTGTTTGGTGAATGTGTTTCATTATGTGCTGTTGTTACTTTTGCTCACAGGAAATCCCTTGTGTTAGATACCCTTCATTCACACTCAGGACAAGCTCACAGGCCCTCCTGGGATGAACCAATGGAAGGGACTAACAGAAAGGTCTTGGCAAAGTCCTTTTCAAGCTCTTCAGGGGTCAGACAGTAAATCTGCTCACTCACTCCTTCAGCCACATGCTGGCATACTTGCTCTGTCAGGGACAAGAATAATCTGGCTGCACAGATACCCCTCTACCCCCGTAAAAATTAAACAAAATTAGCTGAAATGGTGCAAAGCAAACAATGCATTTCTGGCATTACTGCCCTAGGCCCAAAGCACATAAGCCAGTTCTGATGTGATGGCAAAATTTTACCCATACACAGTCACCTCAAAACTCTAAATTCTTATGCCTCCTGTAAGAAATTGCTGCAGAGAAACACCATGCTCTTCAGCCATCCTTCACTCTCTCCTGATCTTACCAGGCATGACCTGCCATTCTATTCACCAAGTTTCCTTAGTCTCTGAACCTGTAAACTGCCACCCTTTCCTGACATGAGGATCAACCAACACACAGATCTGCTTTAGGAAAACCATTAAGGTTCCTTCCATCTAATCTCCCACTTCTCTGCCAAACTGCAGATACTTCTTCTAGGATCTGTCTGGCTCACACTGCTGCCCACCTCCAGAAAGCAAAGTTAATGCCCCTGGAACACCAATTCCACCACATCTACATGATATTATTTTAGATTACTAAAACTGCAGTTAGACATGAAGGGTTTATTCGGCTAGATTTGTCCCTAGCACATGTGAAATGAGAAATGCTCTTCCCATTACCTACTGTTAATGTCATCTGTCTTAAAATGGTAATTGATCAGACTTAAAAAGTCTGACCAATATGTTACTAGAGACTCCTAAGAAATAGAAAAATAATATCCACAGCATGCCCTTTCCCCATCTAGGGATATTTTCAATATTTCTTAATATTTCCTATTAAAAGCTGCATTTTTGGCAGATGTCCTAGTGTTGTACATATATTGTGGTAAACATGAAGTTACTTAAAAATTTATTTTAATTATAAGACAACAACAACAGCAATACTATTCTAGCAGAATGACTACAAACTCCAAATTAAGAAATGGTAACCACTTTAATAGAGAGGACTTTAGTAGAGGAGATGACTCAGCAAAGAAGTGATTTTGGTAAAACATGTGAAACTGAAGGATAACAGGATGTTATGTCTTGTATTCCTCTTTTCTGCCATTTGCTTGCTACCCCATTTCTGAACTAAAAACCAAGACAAATTGAAAAGGCAGGGCTACAGAGAGACAAACCTACTGACTCTCTTGCTCTCTTTCCAAACGCCTTAGCCTCTTTTTGTCCAGACCACAGCCCCTGCTCCCTAGTGACAACAGGACATTTGTGATATTCTTTGGAAAACAAGACCATTACATACCCTCGTCCCACCAGTGAAAACATCTTCGTACCTTCCAGTCAATGTACCTTTCCAGCTCCCCTCCCATCTTCAGCTGTCTGTAGTTATGCATCTCATGTTTCCAAATATCTGGGGTCTTGGTTTTGTTTATCCACAAAAGAGCCCACTTTTGTGAAGCCACTCACACACCAGAGTTTTGCACTTCTGACCAGGCTCCCACAGCAAAACAGGTGAAATGACTTGCAAGTACAGATATTAGTAATTTCTCAGTGTTTTCTTCACCTCTGCATGTGTCTGTTCCACCTCTGGAACACAAATAATTCTGAGGGAAAATGAACTGAAGAACACTGGTTTCCCACAGACTTATAGTGAGGCTGATAATGAGCTGTAATTGAAACTTTTCTCATTACCAAGACATTTATATGGTCTCTCAACCATGTGAATCAGTGTTTAATAAGAGGAAAGTTCATATTACAGCCTTTGGGACATTTACAGGCTCTCTCAGCCCTACCCAGCTGCCTGTTTTCATGAAATAGCTTAATTATATTTGAGATAGATTTGGGTGAAACTGCCCAACAGCTTCAAAAGTTATTGGAGAAGTAAAGGAGACACAGCCAAGCATGATTGCATAAAGGCCTGTTTCCATAGAAACCAAGAGGAAAAACAGCAGTACAATTTGAAAAATTTCATTGCGGAGTCACTTTAATCGAAATTTAAAAAATATCTGACCATCTTTAAATCACATGCCATAACACAAAGTACATTTCTCCTGCCTTATCCCATTCAATACCCTGCCTGCAGACCTCTGCCTTCATGTATCCTGCTCTCCTATATCCTGCAGGCACAAGAACTACACTTCTTAAAGTCAGAATGTTGTTCTGAGTGTATTTTGTCAAACTCCACTTAGGATGGAAACTATTTTTTTAGTCAGGGCAAGTTTCCTAGAAAGACGTGCCAATTGCTACAGTCCATTGCTCTCACACATGTGAGGCATATGACAGAACTAAGTAAAGGGAGAGCTCTCAGGAGGAGCGAGGTACAGTATCACCTGCTGAACAGTGCATCCCACTGCTGGGACTCTAGGGAAGGTCTGCAGGTTGGAGTGGGGAATTTTGGCCACTAAGGACAGGCAGCAGACGGCAACTTGTGGGAGGGTGGTGAACACTTGCTGGGCGCCAGTCAGTAAATTTCATGGGAAGAACTGCCACCCCTCTCTTTGTCATATGCCCTTCAGGTGTAGCACCCACCTGAGCCATCAGCTCTGGCGACAACATCAGAGTAAACAATAATGCCCATGTGCAACTCAATAAACCACTCTGCAAACGGCCGCGACACGGAGATGCTCGAGGCAAACAGGTGTCACTTGGTTTTGCAGCCACAGCCCGAAGCCCAGCTGCCTTTGGTCCTTCCCGGCAGCCAGCGGAGCTCCTGGACCGCAGGACCCTTCTCCGCTCCGGCTCGGGCAGCTCCCGCAGCGCCGCGATGCCCCCGGTACGGTGCGAGGCGCGGCCGGTGCCCCCGGGGCTGCAGCGCTGGGCGGTGCTGGGCAGTGTCCGGGACGTGGCCGGGCAGTGTCCGGGGCGGTGCTGGGCAGTGTTCGGGGCAGTGCTGGGCACTGTCCGGGGCGGTGCTGGGCAGCGCTGGGCAGTGTCCGGGGCGGTGCTGGGCAGTGTCCGGGGCAGTGCTGGGCAGTGTTGGGCAGTGTCCGGGGCCGTGCTGGGCAGTGTCCGGCCGGGGCGGTTCTGGGCAGTGTCCGGGACGGGGCCGGGCAGTGTCCGAGGCAGTGTCCGGGGCGGTGCTGGGCAGTGTCCGGGACGGGGCCGGGCAGTGTCCGGGGCAGCGCTGGGCAGTGTCCGGGGCAGTGTCCGGGCCAGGGCCGGGCAGTGTCCGGGGCAGTGCTGGGCAGTGCTGGGCAGTGCTGGGCAGTGTCCGCGGCAGTGTCCGGGGCAGTGCTGGGCAGTGTCCGGGGCAGTGCTGGGCAGTGCTGGGCCGTGCCGGGCAGTGTCCGGCCGGGGCGGGGCCGGCGGCGGGGCCAGCGCCATCGCTCCGCCGAGCGCCCCCTCCCGGCCGGGGCCGCGCCGGGGCCGGGCAGGGGTGGCCGCTCTCGCTCCCGCCCGCCGAGCGCCCTCGCTCCCCCGCCCGGGCCGTTCTCCGCCTTCTGCCGGCCGTGCCAGGCAGCCTCTCTCTCGGCCTTCACTACCGGGTCAGGCCGGGCGGGAGCGGCGAAACAGCGCCCGCCTCGCTCCGGCACCGACACCGACACCCCTCCTCCTCCTCCCCGCGCCGCGGCCGTCCCCTCCCTCCCGCTGCCTCCCTCCCTCCTCCCTCCTCCCTCCTGCCAGTTTCTCTACAACTAGTGCATCCACGCGCAGGCAGGGTCCGGCCGCCGCGGCTGCCATGGATATCAGCTAAAGCCGGGCGGAGCGGGCTCACCGGCGCTCCCCACCAGCTCGCAGCCCGCGGGGCCGCCGGCCGGCACAGCCGCGGCCGCTGCGCCCGCCCCGAGCCTGCCCGAGGAGCGCGGCTGCCCCGGGGAGTGGGGGCACAGAGGGAGGGGGGAGAAGCACAGACTGCAGGGCGGGAGTCGGGCAGAGCATCCCCACGGCAATGTCCAAGGGCTTGAAGAAAAAAAGCCACTGGACGAGCAGAGTCCACGAGATCGTGATCGTGAGGAACCCGGAGGGACAGCTGGGCTTCGAGCTGAAGGGGGGCGCCGAGAATGGCCAGTTCCCCTACCTGGGGGAAGTGAAGCCCGGCAAGGTGGCCTATGAGGGCGGCAGCAAGTTGGTGCCGGAGGAGCTGCTGCTGGAGGTAAACGAGACCCCCGTGGCCGGGCTCACCATCAGGGATGTGCTGGCCGTGATCAAGCACTGCAAGGACCCCATCCGCCTCAAGTGCGTCAAGCAAGGTAAGGCAGGCATGGGCCCCCCGTCTCTACCCACCCCCCGGGGGCCGGGGCAGGTCTGGGGGAGCGGAGGGGGAGCAACTTAGTTGCTGCAGTTTGACTTTCCCCCTCCCCGCCGGAGCCGCCCCCTCCCCGGCGGCGGGGGGAGGATGCGAGCGGCGCTGCGCGGTACCCGCAGCCGGGCGAATTAAATGTGCGTCAGTGACAGCGCTTCGCCATGCCGGGGGGGCCGGCCGGGGGGCGGCGGCAGCTCCCCCTGCAGCCCCGGGCTCACGGGGACGGGTCCCCACCGACCCGACCCGACCCGACCCGACCGACCCACCGGCCCCGGGCCCCGCCGCCCCTCCGCTTGCTGCTGCCGGGGGCCGGAGCGGCGGCCGGGGCCGGCTGCGGAGCGGGGCTTGCCCTTGGCTTCGCCTCTCGCTTTGGCGTGGGGACAGGGGCTGCCGCCGCTCGCCGCGTCCCTGGTGGCGCCCAGGGTGGCTTTAGCATCTCTTAAGTGTCATTAGCGGAAAAGTCATTCATTTGATCTGTGGGGAAAACGATCGCTAATCCCAGGGAACAGGATGCGCAGAGCGAGTGAGAGGACAGGCAGAAAGAAACTTTTGGGAGAGAACGGTATACTCTAGCCTCGCCTCTGTTTCGCTTATTTATTTTGAACTACTGTAATAGGTTAATGCGTTTCCAGGAAAGTCAGTAGAGAAGAGACGCCACAGATGCTGTTTACATGTTTGTTTCTGTCCTCTTTAAACTATGCTGAGTTGAGTTCTCTGCAGCCGAACGCTCGCGAGGATGTTTCTGCTAGCCCAGAAGCATTTCTGGGGCCCGGAGCTGCTCTGGGAACCGAGTCCGTAGGTGCTCCTTGGCTATGGGTGGTGCAGCGGCTGTAGGCGTATCGCTAAAGTACGCATTCCAGCCGGGCAGCGAGCCCAGCCATTGAAAACTTGGGAATTTCTGCGGTGGGAAGTTTTTAGATACCATGCATCAGAGGCGCTTGTGCTCTGCAACTCTAGCCATCAGCCTCTGCTCAGAGGACGCAGAGGAGAATCTCTCTGACGCTGGGTATAATTTGGCAATTCTGCTTCCTCTTTGTAATTGACGGTTTATTGTTTAAAGTATAATTTGCGATACTTCTGAATGCTTGAAGAATATGGTAATTATTAGTTTATCCAGACATGACAGAAACAGTAGAAAAATCTGATTTCCACTCAGGCCTTCAGAAAGTACTTTATAGTATATTGTTATCTCTATGAGGTCAAGCCTCTATATACAGATACAATCTGGGACTTTTTTATTTGTCCTTATAGGTAAGCTGTGCAATATGCTGTAGATCATATCTTGACAGCTGGGCTATGCAGGGAGACACAATAGTTCATGTGATAAGTGAAGATTAAAAATGAGTATAATGGATGCTGTCTTGCCAGTATAGTGTCATCTTTGGGCACCTGAACTCCAGGAAGGCTGCTCTGTACTGTCCTTGTTTTATTAATAAATTTATTGGTCTTACTGTGATGGGATTCAAAAAGAAGCATAATATGAAGTGTCAAGAAGATAAGGGTAGATTGCCTGTAATCCAATTTTTTTTTTTCAGAAATCCTATAGATTCTTCACAATAAGGCAAATAAAAGGTTACTTTGAGTTGCTATGTGAAACACATGTCCTATCTCTTTACTGCTTTTATAACATTTCTCTTCAAGTCAAAGCAACCACTGGCGATTCATTCATATGGGCACCCTCAATAAATTACCTGTCATATATGAATTAGGGACACTAGTCAGGCTTTTAGTCTGGGAATTACTGCAATCTTCTGCATGAGACATAAGGGATAAATTCTGAATTATATGTAATTCTATGTATCTGTACCTGTATCTCTACATATCTGAGGAGTTTCAGTTCAGTTTGCTAACTCACTACAGTTTTAATGCAAGTTCTCAAAGCACTGGCCACATGTCTGCGTGTTTGAAAATGACAATTCAGCACAGATTCTTGGACTGAGAAAGACTTCCTGGCTGGAATGATCTTTCATGTGCTCCAGCATCCTTTACGCCAAAGAAAGAGGCCTTCTGGATCCAACTTCCTATTTGAAAAAAAAAAAAAGTCAATGGTTTGTGCACTTCACTACCTGACTCCTCCTTCAAGTGTGAGCCAGTGTATCCCTGCGCCCCTCGGTGACAAAGCACAGGCAGCCACGTTACAGCAATATTACTATTCCCTGACAGTGCTTTGCATCAGTGTGTAGGAGAGAAAAGGCTGAGCAATAAAATCTTTATATGTTTTTGTAACTTTTTTACTCCTTTTAATTATGAAGCACCTTTAGTGTGCTGGAACAAGGTTAATGACTCCATTATCATTGTTTCCGCATAATTTATCAATGCTATCTCTGTCAATTAGAATAGCATGACCTTGAATGCACCATGTGACTGTAGCTGCTTCTTCAGTGCTGCCTAGGAATGAAGTCAGAGAGAGAAATGTGGAGGTTGGACATGACTATTTATAATGTGATCTTTAAGAGACTGGGAGTATTTCTCTTGTTTGAAAGTTTTGACAATTCAGCAGTGAAAATTTACTTGTAGATGAAATCAGGGAATGGCTAATTCAAGAATTAGCTGTTTTGAAGCATAGAAAAGATGCTTTCATAATTTTTTCTTATGTTTGATTAAATACCCCCTCTCTTTAATTAAATCTATCATCATTTACTATCATTTACTGCTTTTGAAAAGTTGGATGGAATATTGCTATTTTGTGTTAGCTAAATATCTTGAGTTATAAAACCCCCAAACATATAACGTAGGAGTTGCTGCATATTATGAGGAGGAGTAAACTTCATGAGAAACTGATTTGAAGTTCCGTGATATAATTTAACATGAAATCTTCTATGTATGACTCCTGATAAATAAATAGGATAAATAAATAAATCATGCAGGACATTGTTCCTGGGTTTGCATGAGGAGAAAAGACTGTAAGAATCATTATTACTATTATTCTTTAGTCTTAATTGTAAGAGTTCAAAAAGAAATATTCCTTGGAGGCTATTTCCTGTTTGGGTTTTTTTGTTAGGTTTTTTTTTTTTGAGAGCCACTTGTTGTGCTACTTTGGCAGAATCACAGAGAATCTCTGGAAACAACTTCATCTTGACCCAGATGAAGTCAAAGGCAAAGCTGTCCTTGACATCAGATAAAGAAGGCAGGGTTTCCTCTGCAAAACCCAATGCTTTTTTGAACATACGTCCTTCCAATGAGAGAATTGTAGACAGCAGTTACATTATTTGGGTGTATTACAAATGTACATTTTGACCTTCTAATCCTTTGGGTGAGGATAAGAGCCTTTTACTCTTTCTTAAAGAAATACTTCTGAATTTCAAATGTGTTTGTTTTCACATGCAGAACAGTTTGGATTAAGTGCTGTCTTCTTCCCACACATGTACAGATGCGTAGTTGTAAAAGTAGCAGTGTGTTAAGGAAAGGCATCTTAATTTGGATAAGCAATCACATGGGGAAGAGTCATACAGGGAGCAATGCCTCCAGTTGCATTCTCTGATCACCCCTGCTGTCTCAGATCCACAGTAATTCCCAGCAGTGGCTGACACAGGTCTGTGCTGTCCACACTCACTCCTTGCAGGGTTGCATGAACAGCCCACTTGGTTGTACTGCATAAGCCAGGATCTTTATTCTTTACATAGAGTTATAAACTTCCACAGATGCCCTCAGCAGAATCCCAATGAACTGTCTGAAAACATGGATTTCAGAACTCAGGAGCATTGCAACAGATTTTGTCCTGGAGATCCTGCCTGATGCATCTCTTTCTCAAGGAAAGTGGTTTGGATGTAATAAGTAACCAGGTGATCTGACCAACTGAGCAATTTAATTTATTTTTACAAGTATTTAGTGGTATGACTGTTTGAAACATGAATAAAACAGACACTTTTTATGGACACTGTCTAAGGGTTCTTATCTGACTAAATAGTCAGACTTTAAGTATCAACCCCTAATTCTTTAGCTCCTTACGCAAAAAAGGCATTTAGTACACATAATATAAGGAGGAACGAAAAACCAGTTTAATTTTCTCAGTACAATAATTTACTTAATAGTAAGCACATGCCACAATATTTTGCTGACTATAGATGTACTTGGGTATGTTTTCAAGTGGTTTCCCAGTCAGGAAAAGATTTGGACCTTCATTAGGATGGACACAGGAGCAGCCAAGTTTGGGCAGACTGCTCCTCCACATCCTATTTCTGGTGGCTGTTACTGTGGTTGCTGGGTGAAGACTAAAAGACAGAGGATGGTACCGTCCCAGCTCCCATGATTTGTGGCTAAGGGGTTTAGTAGCCTTGTAGTGTTTTTTCTTAATGGGCTCATCCATAAGCTTTGCAATTAAAACCTGGCTTAACTTTTAAAATTTCTTTAAAAGTCTGTAACAGGCTTTTTGACAGAGATATGCAGGAATTTTGTGATTTTCCAATGTTTTGGCTGCATGTGTAAACAAACATGTTAGCTAGTTAAAATGTTAGTATTTTAGTACAGATTTTTTCATACACATATGTATGTATGTATAGTTATGTTTTTAATTTTTTTTGTTATTTAAGGGCATAAATAATAATCTTCTATATTCACGAAAACACTCTGTGCATATAGTCTTTTGGCAATCTTTTATTCCTGATGTCACTATATACTGTATTCCAAGATGGGAACATTGGCTATAGTTACCTTCACAAGAAGAACAGTATTTTGCAACAGAAAGCTGCATGATTTTCCAGAATTAAAAAAAAAAAAAAATCACAAGGGTCTTTCAATAACCAGACCTAAAGAACGTTGAAAACCTGCATGGTTTACTTTTCTCTATGACTTTTGCATGGATAGTATTTAAAAACAAGCTTACTCCTTTTTCCTAATTTGTGCTCTTTAGGATTTTATTAACTCCTGAAATTAAATTCAGAGTTCTTTTTTTACCATTACTTTATGTTATTCTTATGCTTGTCCATCTTAATTTAAAGACCATTGAAA